AATAATAATAATAATAATAATAATAATTCCTGGGGCGCCTGGGTGGCTCAGTGGGTTAAAGCCTCTGCCTTCTGCTCAGGTCATGATCCCAGGGTCCTGGGATGGAGCCCCGCATCGGGCTCTCTGCTCAGCGGGGAGCCTGCTTCTACCTCTCTGCCTGCCTCTGTGCCTACTTGTGATCTGTCTGTCAAATAAATAAATAAAATCTTTAAAAATAATAATAATAATAATTCCTTTCTGAGCACTAAGTGCCAAGTACTGGGTGCTTTGCATGCATTGACTCACTGAATCCTCACAGCAACCTGATAAAATAGATATTCTTATTTATGATCTTTTTCTCCCTGAGGCACAGAGAGGTTAAATAACTTGGCCAAGGTCACACAGCTAGTACCTGGTGGAGTCTGATGCTAAAACCCTTCCTCCTAAACACTCCATTGAGTGTGTACGAGGGGAGGGAGAGATGGACGGGTTAGGGTGGGGGTACTATCATAAACTGGCACTGGCTTCCCAGAAGGGTGAGCTTTCTGCTGGAAATTAGAAAAGAAAGCAGCTTCTTAGGGAGAGAGGTGGGAACGCTATGAAGGTGTGTTGGGAGGCAGGGGAACAAAGTGCAGAGCTGCAAGATGGGAGCCGTGAGTGTTACAGAGATCTTGCGGGAGTGCAGCTGCCGGACGGATCTCCTGAGCGCTGCCAAGCATCGAGAATCTGATGCCCATCTAATGACTTTCCGAGGCCCTTCCCACATCCTGAAATCACCCGCGTGCCAGTCGCCAACTGAATCGTTCGCACAATGTTGTATGTCGGGAACTTTTCATTAAGCATCTATGACTTCCGATCTCGCAGGATTTTTTTTTCCCCACCTTAGAGCCAACAGATTTTCTTTTTCAAGATCTCGACTTTTTAGGTTCCTGACAAAATCAGAAGACTTAAGGGCTGTGTTCTAGAACCCTCCTACAGGTCTCAAAGAGAAAGCGCTCACCCGCCCGGGATGGGAGGGAGTTGTTGGTGAGGAAGGCACACAGGAAGGTTTCCTCCCAGGAGGGTCTATTCGTTCAGCCGGCATTCTGAGGGTGACTATTGTGCCCTGGGTGCAGGGAACACAATGGGGTGCGAAGCGGGGGCTGTGGCGATGTTGGGCAGAGGAGAGGAAGTTGCAGATTCCTGGGACGCAGACTGGGTGGCGTGAGAAGGAAAGGTTCTGTGCCTTGGGTAAGCGGCCCCCAGCCTGCTGGACCTCGGAGCAGGGACCGCGCAGGGCTTAGGACGGCGCTCCAGCCTCCGGCTACCTTTGCCCCAGCCTCTGCGCCCGACAAGCGGTGTCCAGCAGGGGGCGCTCACGAACCAGGCCTTGGACCGAAACCTTGAGTCCACACAGCCGCGGGAACAACTGCGAGGGTCCACTGGGTTTCCACCCGCCCCAACCTCCAGACCGTTCGGGTCGTAGAAGTCCAAGTTAGAAGTCAGTCCGCAAAAATCTGCCCGGAGCCACAGCCCTCGGCTCCTGCGTCTGCCTAAGTTCTGGACCCCAGCCTGGTCAAAAAGTCTGAGTCCGGATTCCCCAGATTCCGATTCTGGGACACCTCCTCCTCCCTCCAACTCTGGCGGCTTAGAACCTTGAATCTCTTTTCTTCCCTCACCTACGGCAACGCACCTGATTAGGTGCCTGTTTCTTTAACGATCAAAGACGTGGGAGGCGGCGGGGGTGGTGTGTTCGCTCTCGGCTCCCCAGCCCCTCAGTAACTGTACCGTTATTAACATTATAGACATCAGACCTGCTCCTGCGCGCCCTGGCGGCGCGGGGCGAAACGTGCGGTGCTCTCCCAGCTGAGCCCGGAGGCTGATCCTGGAGCCGTGGCCCCCATCCCAGGCCTCGGCGGACTCTGCCAGGGCAGGCACTGGGCGCTCCGGGGTCGAAGGCGGGGGTAAGGGTTGTCTTCCCCACATCACCCGGGGCCGGCTGGGGGAACAAAAGCGCTTGCTGGAGAGTGGGCGGGTGTCTCAGGGACCCCTGGGAGTCTGAGCTCTCGTCTGGGTGGCCACCACATCCTTAGCCTCCGTCCTGGCCCCGGGAGCCCTGTGTCCCTGCCGAATTCCCCAGGCTTCTGCATTCCCGGCAAATGAGCCTAGGAGAAGGGGTCTTACTTGGCCCGCGGGCCCGGGAGGTTCCCGGGACGCTGGCGGGGCGGGTCCCTGCGGGCCTGGGAAGCTCTCCGCGGAGAATGAGCGAGCCCATTCTCCCTTCTACTCCCCAGCCTCTGTCTTCTAGTACATCAGCGCTTCCAAGTTGTCCCTCACCCGCCTGCCTACCTTTCCACCTCCAAGACGACGGCAAAAAGAACCAGAAAAAAGGTGAAAACTGGGTGGAGGGTCCACAAGCTGTGCGCCTCCCGGCCTGAGCTTCGGTCCCAGCCTCTCTGGCCGGCGCCCCTCCCCCGCGCCCAGGGAAGTCTCCAGGACCGACGACCCGGGACCTGACTGTCCATCCTTGCAACTGGTCCCTCACCTCCCAGACCCCTCTTCCAGGACCAAGACTCACGGAAACGCCCCCCACCCAGCGTTCTCATTACGCACCCCCCTCCCCGCCCCTCGCCCTTGCTCCGCGGACAAAGAGGCTATACCAGACCCGCCGACCGCGCCACTCCCTGGCCCAGCCTCAGGGACTCATTCGTAGACTAGGGGGCTGCTTGCGCTGTCCCACTGCAGAGTCGAGGTGCTCTCAGCGTTCCACCCTCCTTGAAGACACCATCCCTCTCAGGGCGTCCCTGTGCCCCCTCCCCCAGTTCGTCTGTGGGGACCACAGGCCCAGGCAGGTGGAGTGAAGTTCTGGGTTCTCAATTCTGGTCGGAAGGAAAGAAAGGTGCTGGTCCCAGCCAGCTGGGCCGCCTGCAGCGACCGCAGGAGTAGGAGAGAGGGAGGGATGCAGAGCGTGCAAGCGCAGGTCGGTTCATATTTAATTTACAAAAGATCCTCGGAATGAGTCGGATAGTCTCTTCAGCTACAGCGCTCCCCGTCCGTCTCTCTTCCCCACTTCCCCAGCTCATTAAAATGCTCAACACTCAAATCGGAAGATTGATCTCCGCAGAGGCCCCAAACCCGGGCCATCGACCCACCGGCCAGAGAACCCCCGCGCGTGCCCCGAGAGAGCTCTATGTCTACGGAAAGGACGGGGGAAGGGAGGAGGCTGGAGTGGGGGTGACTCCTGGAGCCAGTATCCCCTTCTGGATTCTGGCAGGCAACTCTGTCTCTGGGGCTGCAATGGGCAGTGAAGGAGAGTTTTAGCCAAATGCCTCGACATTCCTGTGCCTCCACCTCCTCGTCGCTTAAAGAAATGTCGGGGTTTCGCCAGAGACAGGGAGCAGGAGTCGGGAACAGCGAGTATTCGAATCTGCCGAGGCCGGCTGTTGTGTAAGGGTGTGAGACATGCTGGCGGTGGCGGGCCGCGGAGGCTCTGGGGGCTAAGTGTGTGGGGTTGACGGTGTGTTTGCTGGTGAGGCTGTGAAGGCGTTGGCGAGGGAGGGACAGTGAGAGAGATGCTCCGGCCTTAAGTTCCCAGCCCACGCTGCTCTGGAGGAGCTGACGTTTTGTAACCATCCCTGTGCTGTTGTCTGCCGCAGCCCCGGGGCCCCATTTTCCCGGAGCTGGGAAGATCCGAGGGTGAGGCACTTGGGTGCGTCCAGGCTGTCCCACTGGGGAGGCGCACCCACCGCACCCGGGAACCCGCACAGGCGGCTCACTGGGCTGTGGGCTTCAAGCGCTGGTTTAGCTACGAAACAAAAACAAAAACAAAAAACAAAAAACGAGACTTAAAAGAGCATGGCTTAAGCTGGCCAGGGCGGCGATGGGCTAGGGTCCAGGCATTTCTTTCCCGGGCTCCTGGCGGGGTCGTGCGCTCTCCTCTCTTCGGGTTGGACTGGCGGGGGGCGGGGGAGACCTTCTACCCAGATCCTAGCAAAAATAGCAGGGAGGGTGAGACGCTCTGCTAACACTATCAATTATGCATCGTGTTGAACGTGGCTTCGGGGAGGAGGCTGGTAGTGGGGAGGGGGGTGCGGGAAGGAAGGGTTCGCGGGAGCCCGGCTGCGCACAGCGCAGCAGGTCCTACTTCAGGTCTGTCTGTGCCACAGCCGGCATTTGCAAAAAGAGTTTAAAGGCAAAGACACGCCCCCCCCTTTCAGTCGTGCGCTTTTCCTTCCCCCAAATTCCTTAAAGATGGTTTGTCTCACGTGTTGCGGGGCGTAAAAGCGGCTCTCGTTCAATTAGCAGTGAAGCTCCCCGGCCCTGGCGGGACCCGCGTGTGAGGGTGAGTGAGCGTGAAAGTGTGTGTGTGCGCGGGAGGGAGAGAATGGTGAGTGTCCCGAGTGAAGGTGTGCCTTTGAAAATGTGTGTGAACGTCAGGAGGCCTCAACACATTGACTCGGTAATTATTACATGATGATGGATAGTTCTACCATGGGAAGGTCAACTGTGCGGACGGTGTGAAGGTTTGTGTGTGTCTGTATCAATGTGTTTGAACGTGGTGGGGGGAGGATGGCGATGTGATTAGGCATAGTGACAACGTCTGCAGATGTGTAAATGCGGAGGGACGTGGGGTATGGGTGTGCATTGAACTGGGAAGAGCCCAGATGAGGGCGATGAGTGTGGAGGGCGCCCCTTGAGCCCAACGTGTCTGAGCCTCGGGGAGAGCCTCTACGGCTTTAACAAATGTGGATGATGCGGGAGGTGGGAGAGGCTGTGCGCGTCCCTGCCGCACCGGGAGCGCGCGCGGGCTCTCTTCAGTCTGCAGCCAGCCAGACGTGGGGGGAACAGCCGCGGAAGGAAAAGCTGAAGCGGGACCTCAGGGCTAGGGAGGTCCCCATACTTACCTGTCCCTTTCTCTGCCCCTCCCAGTCTTTTCCACAGCCAGCAACAGATGTGGAAAGCGCCCTTGGGCAGTGTCCTGGCTCGGAGACCTCAAGTCTGGAGAAGGGGCTGCAGCCCGAGGGCAGTGCGCGAAGAGTCAGCGAGCAGCGGGTAAGCCGCGGGACCGCCCCACAACCTCAACCCAGGGTTATGGTACCCATCTGGGGTACCATAACCCGCTGGAGCTATGGGGGGGGCACGGCGGGGTGGGGAAAGGCCCTCCCCCGGGAGCAAAGGCAGCGTGAGGGAACCCGGGTTCCCAAAGATGGGCTTGTGGGAGGGGCTCTGCCCAACCTGCAGGGAGTTCTAGGTGGGAGCGGGAAGTCTCCGCGAAAGCGCATTTGTGTGGCTGGGTATAAGGTTTTATG